TTAATGAATTAACACAATTATGATGTTCCCTTTTTACCTCTGTTCTTCTTGTTTCCCCATTCTTGGTTGGAGTTGGCACGCGCTCGAAGGGTGTGATTTACAGTAATTTTTTTGCTTGTTACAGGCACAGTCGTATCAAACCATCCATCGTGTTCATCTACAAAAGAAACGTAGATTACTTTAGCAGAAAACAATCACTAAAGTTATTAAAAAACTAAATGGTGAGAAGAATATAGAAGACATTGTTGTCTCGCATCAACAAGGCAAAAAAATATTTATTTATTTTTTTGTTTTGTTTATTTGGGTATTTTTGAATTTCTTAAATATATTAAAAAAATATATGTATTGAAAAAGTAGCTCAAAACTTTGCCAGCATGCATTCGAGTATATGCTAAGATTCCGTCTTCAATAAATTTTCCACGATTTCTTTTGTTTTGATTGGCCGAGTGAGTCTCCATAACGTGGTGCTCAACCAGGTAATCTCTCTCTTCCTGGAATTCGAAAATGCTCCGATACGATATTTTTTATCTTAAAAAAAGTGGGTTATTTTGTGGATATTGTAGGGTATTTTGGTCATTCAGTTGTCAAGAGTTGTACAAAAAAGTTTCCTTTTACGCATACTGGTACTAGAAACAGTCCACTACAAATGTGGTTACTTAGCCAATATCTCCTTGTGAATTGTGATGCTCCGATGTTCACGGTTGTGATGATTTCATGTCGTTAAACGAGGAAAGTTTAAGCAAGCACGTAATATCCATTAATGTGTTTATATCACTTCTGAAAATGACAAACAACTTATCCTAATACTATCGTTTATTTATTTATTTTTGTTGAAGTACTTTTAATCTTTATCTAAAATTATTGTTTCATTCCTCACAAAGATCAGGATATTTTTGTGTTTGCACCATTTTTAATGCAATAATCCATGCATTATTTCAAGTAAAAAAAGAAAACGCATTAAGGAGAGTCTCTGATCAACCGTCGCTAATTTCGGTTAACTCCTTTTCACTAATTAGTCGTCTTAAATTGCACTTTTTTTTTTTTTTTTTTTTAAAACGGTGTCTTAAATTACACTTGGTAGTGTGTTTATAGTTTTTTTTTTTTTAAATCATTTCTTCCATGAATTATTGTAAAATGGAAGACAAATTGAAATTCAAAATTTTAATTTAGATTTTCATCAATAATCTTTTATGAATTATATAAATTGGCGGTATGTATCCCTTTATAAACACTTAATGAGATCATATCATTTGCTATCATGACCTTGTGAATACAAACTTTTTATGCAGGGAAAAAATCTCTTCAACAACCCTACTTGTTAGCATTGACTAATAACTTAATTAATGAGTCGTGCGATAGTTGCTCCTCAACATGACCATCTCCAATGCAATAGTAAATTAATGTACCAATACTAATTTTAGTATTTGGGTAAGAAAAAACACTCTCTAATTCAATACATTTTGTACTCAATTTGACAGATAATCACTCTCAAATTCAATACTATTTTTTTGCTTAATTTGACAAATGCAATACCTTGTGGGAAATTATAACAAATGTCAAATTTAACATTTAATTACTTGTAATTGATACATTAACTTTTTCATTTAATCATTACGATCATAATAGTACAAACACATTATAAATAAAAAAGTAACAAGGATTCAAAATAAGAATCATCCAAATAACAAGTAAAAATGCATTCAAACAGAAAATAAGCAAGGGCAAGAGAATATAAGTATATGAGAAAATGAGGAAAAAGAATTAAAACACGGTGAGTAAAATTGAACCAATAAACTACAGAAAGCATAATGTACGAGTACGAGTTTTGTGGACATTTTTCTAATATTAGTTATAAGCGCTTGCATTTTTTTACATCTTTTCAGTATAAAAATCTAAAATTTCTTTTAATATTTAGGTGTATTTATTCATCACTTTCCTAATAATTGAGTTCAATAAAAAAAAAAAGAAAAAAAAGTTCAGCAGCGCACATCTAAAAGGGGAAAAAAGAAAAAAAAATAGATAGTAAATTATTAATAAGGTACATATAAAAAAAGTATTTGAGAAGGTTGTATGTTCAAATGTTTAGGCACGGACATATCTGAGAAAAATATTTAAGTAGAGCAATTAGGGAAAAACAATTACGAGTTTTTTTTTTTTTTTTAAATGACTACAAGAAAAATTGTTTGGGTAATTGCACATTTGAAAATTTTTATCTTAATAAGAATAGATTAGGAAAATGTTTAATAAGATCCATTTGAAAATTAACAAAAAAAAAAATAGAAGAAAAGGGAGGAGGAAAAAAAAAGAGAAGGACCAAAAGATATTGTTGATGGCTAAGTTGGTACCATGCCCGTACAAAGGTCCAGACCCAATAATTTGTGTCCCGTGGACCTAAGTCATGTTCAGAGAACCTTCGTGGGCCGTAATTTGGTGGGTTATAGATAATCAAGTAGGCCCATTTATCTCTTAACTTTTGTATTAATCTGAATCCCGCTTGGGGGGTTTCCTAAATTAATCAAGTTAAGAATAAATGGGTGATGGAGTCCTTGGCCCTTTCCCGAAGCCTTCTTTGCGTGGGAAGCTCAAACCCCTTCATTAAAGTCTACATTTTTGTGTGTCTTCGAAGCCCAAATTGCTCCTTCAGCCCCGAGCTTCACCTTTTGAAACCTTCCCAACCACCAAAAGGTCTTCCTTCGTCATATTCTAGCTCAACAGAGGCTTTCTTGCACCAGACTTCTGTTCCGGAGCTACATTGGATCTGCCTCCGAGAGAGTCCTTGTGCATACCTCTGGGTTGCCTATTGAAGTTTCTCGGAGCGATTTATGTCAGGTGCTCCGAATGATGGCTACTTAGCCATAAATATCATGAGTCCAATCTAACACGTCTGATGTCGCGATCAGACCGCCAAAAATGGAAGTATTCAGAGCATTTAATGTGATCCCATGTGACCAGGTGTGTTTCAAACCTAGGCAAGTGTTTTAATCATCATATATCTCAGAGTCTTGTCTCAATCTCATTCTACTTCGGGTTGTTATTCCAATCACATCTATGCTTTGTCTAATCATTTTGCTCTATAAGGAATGGCGTGTGCATAGCTCTATCAGAGCGCTGCCGGACCTGTCACGGAGTAGTTCTCCAGAAACTTTCATTTGATTTTTAGGCGTCCTTTTCGTCGGGACAACTGTAGATCTTTGCTTCAAATGGAAATGTGCACTTCAGTTTCCATTAGATCCTTTCGTACAACCTTGAACTGTCACCGAACACTTCCATTTTTCCCATTTTTGGTTCTTTTATTTGACAGCTCCATGGGGTAGATTGATATCTTGCTTTAAATGGAATTGTGTATGCAGGCTTCCCTCAGAGCATGCGGTACTAATCCTTGGAGCAAGTGCCACAACTTTCAGATTTCTCCTATAAATACCCATTTCCCTTCACATTCAGGGGGACAAATCAAGCTTACATAGCTTACTCCCACTCTGCTGAAATCTTTCCAGAATTTCTCTATTTTCTTAAGTTGTTCTTAAGGTTATGCTAGTCTTGGTACGCTCCAAGTCGCGACGCTACTCAAGAAGCTCTGTTATATCTTTATTTGCTCCCTCCTTAGAGCACTGGGAAGTTCTTGAGCCTTTGTTGGCATATTCGAATACCTTTGTCTCACGGAGCATATTTCGAGGCTCGAAAGGCATCAAGACTTCGCTCTCGCCATCAGTCATTTTGATTCGCTCAACATCGCCCTTCTTGGGGCCTTCTCAATACTTCTCCCACGGAGCTGCATGTGCGGGCTCACAAAGTAGCCTCGTTTTCCTTACTATAGCCTTATCCACTTTATGAGTAACTTCTTTTCTCTAAAAATGCCTTATCTAACCTGAGTCACTTCTCCATCAACCACTTGATTACTCCTCCCACTTCAATTTACGTGGTTCTCTTCTTGTTGTGTGGATTTTCTAACTCTTTTCGCAAGGTTATTTTTGTCATTTTGGCAACGGAAAGGGCCTTAAAGTCCGTTCTCTTCAGCCTGATTCGTGCCTAGTCCATAATGAATTTAACGGGTGTCTAAAATTAACTACAATGAAGAATCTAGAAAATAGAACTGCATGTTTGCTATTGTGGATGGTCATGTAGGAGGAGTTTGCGTGCACAGATGCTAACCTTCTTTTCCTACACTGATTTCGCTTAAAATCTTCTATATAATTTTCTAATAATTTTTTTATATGAACCCTAATTTTTTACCCGAAATCTCTTTTATTTTCTATGTTCAATCCAATCAATTTTTGGATTAATTAGACTTATTTGTTAAATTAAAACATTTGAGTATCAAATTGACAAAAAAGATTAGTGACCAATTTTGCAAAAAAAAAAAAAAAGAAAAAAGAGCAGCCTCCATTATATCACCAATATTAATATATTATATAACCGTGTATAATACACTATAATATATAATAATATTAGAATTATAAAAT